CAAAAGTAATTTAAAAGCATGAGATATTTGCAATTTCATTCATTGGGCACATATCAAATTATAATTTTGATTTTAAATGGTCACCCATTTGTTTCCAAGCAAGTAAAAAATACCGTAACAAACCTGATGTGGGTAGGAGGGGCATGTCAGTAAGTGGTGTGTTCAATCTTGTGTTTGTTTCATATGGGCCCTTTCCAGAAGTTTGCAAACCTTGTCATACCCATATGCAAAATTGTGTTTCCTTGCATTAAACCAGTGAAGTTTGGGTTTTCTTTTGTGCTATCAGTTGTAAAATCAGAGCTTCTTATATATTCTACTGGAATAACTGCATCTTCCACTCAGTCACTACAAAAAAACATAGTTTCAGTTTGCATGATTTTTTTTTCTTCAATGGTTGTGCAGATAAGGATCCATTTCTGGGATAGAATTGTATTTTTTAAGTCTCTTTTTTTCTTGAAATGGATATGTACAAATAAAATAAATGGAAGACAGGATAACTCTTTTTCTATTTATTTGTAACTCACATCATTCTGGAAAGCATTTGAAGCCTTATTCCAAACAGAATTAGAGGTGAACACAGACATAGTCAAGATTTACGATACGCTTATATGTTTTAATTTTAGCTATAGATCAGTTTTGAGTTATTACAGAGAGAACTCAATGTATTCACGATACATGGTAACTTTCATATTTCCTTTTTCTTTAGCACTCATTCTGAAACAGAAATGTCAGTGTTTGCTAAAGAAGAAATTAAATTTCTTTGGTTACAATTATGCCTCTATTAACAAAAGGGGGCATGTTCCCACAACTCCAACAGTTGTCATATACTTGACTTTATTACTACCCCAAGTTGTCACACTCTCTATCGGGGAGCATAAGTACTTGAGCAAACTGGAAACAAAAAAAGGTTACAGGAAGAAAATCATCAGTTGTGCCAGAAAACATAAAATGACTCTTTGTAGGGATTAACATTCTTGAAACACATACCATATACTGGCAAACAGTCCATGCCCAGCACAGCTCTGACTGCATAGGTAAGGAAAATGAGACAGCAGAGGGGCAGAAAGGTCCAACCATCTTTTACAGGCTCTTACAGCTACAGCTGACAGCCACCTTGAAAAATTTAGCAAGGGTAAACGGCTTTGCCCCTGAAGAGTATCTAGAAGTGCAAATCAACTCTTCTCTAGAACACACTGCTGATTTGAATGGCTTGAAATGATATCACTACTTTAAAGTCATAAGATTTTAATACTGGAAAAGACTTTAGAGGTCTCTGTCTAGCAAGACGTGTGTGTATGTAGAAGACATCAGAACATAATCTAAACTCCTTTACAATGATGTGTATTCAAGGCCACATCTGAGCTGGCCTGTGCCCTCTTTGATGCCATCAAGTACTACTCTCCTCTTGCTCATTTGGCTTAAGCTACTCTGGCCATCTTATGTTGCCAGAACAAGCCACAGTCTACTGGCTCAGGGCCTGTGTGCTATTGCTATCCTTCTGCCTCTTCCTACAGATTATTCATGCAGCAAATTCCCTTGCTCCATTCTGGTTTCTATTTGAATTTACCCTGGCCAATAGAGGATTTCTCTGCTTATTCCATCTAAAATGGCAGACTATTCGCCATTCTCCCATTATTATTTTTCTCTGAGCATATTTATCTTCTTAGCATTTATCCCTGCCTGCAATGAAGAGTTTTTATTTTACTTACTTATTGCTGGTCTTCTGCATTAGATTATAACCTCCATAAGGACACGGCTTGGTATCTCCAGTCCCAAACACAGTAATTACTATTGAGAGCTAACATGTTTAACATACTCTCTGCACCTCCAGTTTTCTCATGTATACAATGGAGAACATAATAGTAATGAACCTCATAGAGGAACTGTGAGGATTAAACAAAAGTTAGTAAGACACACGAATCGAATCATTTACTAGCTCCTAACGTGCAATGAAAGGTAGTTCTTTGTAAACACTTACTGAATGATTCACTTCCACGACTGGGACTAAGACCCAGAATTTTCACTCCAGTGTCCTTTCCATTACTTTTTTTTTTTTTTTTTTTGAGACAGCATTCTCCCCCAGGCTGTTATGCCATGGCACCATCTTGGCTCACCGCAGCCTCAACTTCCCAAGTTCAGGTGATCCCCCAACCTCAGCCTCCCGAGTAGCTAAGACTACAGCCATGCGCCACCATGCCCGGCTAATTTTTTTGTATTTTTAGTAAAGACAGGGTTTTGCCATGTTGCCCAGGCTGGTCTTGATCAACTCCTGGGCTTAAGCAATTCACCTGCCTTGGCCTCCCAAAGTGTTGGGATTACAGACGTGAGCCACTGTGCCCAGCCTCATTACATTACTCTTAAAAACATGGAAGAGAATCAAGATACTAGGGCCCCACAGAGAACCAAAACCACGTCTGCCACCCAGTGTTGAACCACAGCCTTCGGGTAAGATAGAATCCAATTCCCCCGTCCTCTCACAGCACTGTCAAGATGACCTTCTGATGCAAGGCCTCTAAGGATCTCACAGACACTCTCAGTAATAGGTGGTGTCTCTTAAGTTCCTGGAGAAAAAAAATGTAAACTCACCAAAATGTTGGTCGTACAACCAACACATATTTATTGAGAATCGATTAAATGCCAGGCCCTAGAGATACAGACAGACATGGATGGTCTCTGTTCTCATGGAGCTAAATGTATTATAACTCTGAAAAGTCTAGTTAACTAGCTACATGAACTGTAGGAAAAAAGGGATCACATAAATAGAACACTTTTCATCAAGAAATAAAAACAGTTTACAGCCTCAACAGGACAATGTCTTCATAAGCTTGTGGAAGAACCTACTGAAATCTGAAGACTTCCAATCCCATCCAGTGCATCCACAGATGAACAACAGGCTTCAAACTTCATTATCCACAATAAGAAATAGTTTTATATAGCACACAACACTTATATATATGATTGAAAAAGACATTTCACAAAACTATTTATCTTTATTACATGTGATGTACCATTTTCTCTATTTCATTTTTTTAAATGTTCCTCATACCTAGTAAATTTTTGTGTTCTGTGAATTAATTTAAACAAAAAGGGGAAGGGGGGAAAACAGACAAGGCATACTATTAGGTTAAGTGAGAAGCACCCAACATGCATAGAAGAAAATCCTACCCGAGGCAGGAAACACAAGCTGTAGTCCCAGCTTCGCCTGAGACTTTGCAAGCCTGGACATATGCTCAGGTCTGTACTCTTAGAGAGCACACGACATCAGGAAAACAGAATGTAAGGCAACACCTGCACACCTCCACTCCTAACACCTAGCGTTGCCTGACACAAGGGGAAATTCCTGCTCAGGAAACAGGGTAGTAAGGCAGACGCTGACTCTGAAGTAATCTGTCTAGGTTAAAATTCAAGCATCACCGCTTTACTAACTATATGACCTTGGGCAGGTTAGTTAACTTCTCTCTGGCTAGATTTCCTCATATGACAACAGGATAATAAATGAACCTGCCTCATACAGTTAAGAATTAGTTATTATATGCTTGCTTGGCACATAGTAAACACTGTATCAGTGTTTTCTATTATTATTCTGCATCACACAAAAGGAAACCTCCTCTGCCTAAACCTTACAGCAATGGTTTTAGATATTAAAAGTTTCTTAAGATGTGCAAATAACTTGAGCACAATATATCAGGAAATAGATCTTATCTACTGAATACCACTGAATAAGCAATGCTTTAGCAAGTAGGTCTTTTACCGTCTTGTTTTAGCTTTCAGTCCAATAATTCTCTGTAGGCAGATGGTGGCCGACTGGCAAATGACAGCTCTGCCCATTATTCCTGCAACTCTCAAATTAAAACAACAACAAAACACTACCTACTACTATCCGAACTTCAGGGCCTTTTAAAACCATGGGGGCTATTTGCTTGGAGCTGAAAAATGCAAAACAAACACACCTTCTGCTCAAGCAGAAAAATCCTCTTTATTAATCAAAAATCTCAAAAAATGTTTGCCCTTGAAAAATGCACTCAAGTGGTTTGTCTATTCCATTTATATAACAATTGTATCACTCATAGCCCTCTTCCAAAGCATACATCATACTTTATGGAATTTTTGAATGGATCTGAATGGCTTTCCAAAACTAATTGGTATTATTTCTACACAAACATAGAAGTTACCATCAAGTGTTACTATCTTGTCTAATTACAAGTTGAAAGCAGATCTTCTGGCATATTCACAAACCATTTAATATAAAAATGCCCAGAATGCTAATGATTTCCCTCTTCACCCCACTAATAATTCCAGGGTGAGAAGTTAAGCTCAAGTCCATTTACTTTTCCTTCTGTTATGATATATTATATCTATATCATCAGTGATCTTTAACAATATATTACTTTAAAATTCTCATATTTCTATATTTAAAATTTTATTACTTTTCTCAATTAAAAAAAATTCAGGGTATGATTTTAGTACCCTGCTATGTACTGAAGAGAACTAGTAAATAATGTTCCCTTGATTTAAAATAGGAAAAAACAGGTGATTCTAAAAATTGGGTCAAATATAACAATCAATCTTACAATATTTATACTATCTTTTCCTATAGTTAATAATAATTTCCAGGAAACAAGGTGATTTTTCAAAAGCCATCTGTTTCAATACATGGGGGCTTATTTTCCATGAGACACAACTAGAAAAAAAAAATTTCAACTTTAGTATTCACACCTCAGCATTAATAACTGCCTTTTTCTTTAACCATGGTCTGTGTTTCCTTTTTGTTTCTAGTTTAATTTAGTGTTTTGGCATACACTGAGTAAAAAACATTACCGTCTTTTACAGGGTTGCTTAAGATCACCCTCTTTTCCATAATATATTCCTTATTCTTCATAAATGACGGAAAGAAAACTCTTAAATATGTGAAGCAAAATACCAATTTCTGGTTTTAACACTGGTTTAAAAAAAAAAAAAATCCAAAATCTAACCAAAAGGAAGTCACAACAAACATTCTATAATATAAACAGACAGTATCCACATAGTTTATTTCTCACAGTTCTCCTGACAAATGAACATCATTCAAGAACATACTGTATACACAGATAAGAAGAAACATACAAAATGTTTTAAATGATGCACAACAAAATCCAGCAGTATAAAAGAATGCATGTGAACTCTTGCTCACTGCGCAGACTAAATTTAATCACTTGTTTAAATAGTAATAAAAATACAATCTTTTATGGATCTTGTGCAGACTACAAAAGAGGGAAATTATTACCATATATATGATTTTTATATTAGGCAGTTTTCTTTGATGAGTTGTACTGACAACTCCAAATACAGAGGCAGAAGGCTGTGTATTTTAAAGGAATTAATGTTGTGAATTAGAGACTTTACACAGTTACTACCACTGGCACTTTTCACCATAGTTTGTACACATCACATGATCATCTTATATAACATTACATTTAAAAAATATATCTGAGTGACAATTTTATAACATTCACACACCATGAGCTGGTTAAGGAAGCAGTGCCACAGTTGCCTCCTGTAGTGCTTCACTGTTGGTAATTAAGGACAATTCATTGTGGTTAAAAGAAATTAGGTATCAATATGATTAAGCAGCTCCAATTTACTAAAGGCCATCAATGACCAACACTGGGACAGTGAGTTCTTTTAAAGTGTATATCCTAGAAGCAAACACCATCATTGGTTAAAACTTTGTCTAAAGAAGTGAGTTTCTGTGCTGAAAACTATTTTCACAAAACTGAAGGCTACTAAACTGTTTTAATATAAATACTTTGTCTTCTCATTATCATATTTATCACCAAGTTCTTTGAAACCTTTGGAATTTACTCTCTCTTTAATGTGTGCTCTCGTTCCATCTCACCCATTTAAGATCACCACCTAAAATGCGGTGGTGAAAAATTCACCAGGGAAACCCTTTGCTCACCAGGAATGTTCAGCTGCTGAACAGTGATCTAGAGCCACAACGGTGCAGAGCTGTACTTGACGAGAACACTCAGGAAGCTCTCATGCTGTGAGTGTCATTTCTGGGAAAGCAGAGAATCTTTCCAAACTGTGCACATAATTAACAATGATACCATTGCTATGTGTTGAAGAGGACTAGTAAATGATGTTCTCTTCCATGTCATCTGTTTGCTGGAAAGTAGTTTGGGTCAAGGTAATTATAACTGGTGCCCTGAGACACACAGTAGTCTCTGTCTAAGAATGTCTCTGACCTGTAAATAGGTTCTAATTGGTGATCTTCCTTGTGAATATCTGTTTCATGTAGGCTGCAAAGAAAAAAAGACACATATCATTACAAGGTATTGGATGCATTTTAGTCTGTGTATTACAAAGCTTCCTCACAACTCTCCCTGTTTAAATCCATTAATCTATCAAAATCTCTAATGCAAAGTTACCTGATATGTGGTATGATTACAGGAAAAAATTAATTGCCTAGAACAACAAAGTTTAATTCACTAAGTGTGACTATTAATATTTTCTATGTTTGGAAATCAAATTCACTAATGGCTGAGAAGCTCTTTTCTTGTCTAAGTTGAAGACTGACAATGAAGAAAATACTTACCAGTCTGAACAAGAATCACAGAAATCCAAAGACATTTCTGGAGGACAATCCTGGCAATGCCATCGAACACCCTGGATGGGTTCTATGCCACAGTTATCACACTATAATAGATTCAGAGAGAAAATGTATTAAATTATACTGTTCCACGACTTTTTATTCTCCACAAGGAAACATACGATGTGCATATAGACATCTTCTCCTATCTCTCCATGCACAGGACAGTAATATACCACACAAATGGTTATATGTCAGAGATAATTTCTAGCAAACTAGGTAAAATTCCATCCACTCAACATCAAGGAATGTGTGAGTGAGAGGAACATTAGAAGGGATAATCTTCAATCAGCTTAAATTTATATAAAAATTTTTAAAAGTAAATCATCTTCAACTTGGGTGGTTTTGTTATTTGTAACCATCTACTTGAAAGGTACCTCAGACCACTGTATGATGACTATGGTTGAGAAACAGAGAGTTAATACCATAGTTAAAACTATCCAAATATGATACAGAATTGTTTTAACAGGTTCTCTTGGCTGACAGAAATGCAGGCAACAGTAAAATTCTGTCTAAACTTTTATCTTATTGAATCGCTCTCCAAAGCCTAAAGACTCCTAATAACCAATGCCCATCAGGTGAAAAAGGCAGATCTGGCTCTTTTTCAGCGTGGTGGCATCATGATAGTCCTCAGAGTATTCTGTGCACTTTTGGAAATCAAAGGATATATCATTTGTAGTTTCTTTGATCATCTGGTCAACTATAGTGGCTGCCAGACTGGCAAACAAGCCATGGCTGGGTTTTGCAGCAAAATTAGGAGAAGGGAAGCAAGTTTCTTTTTGAAAGGCCAGAGCTGCCAGTTAGGAAAATCTCTAATGGAGAAGTAGGGTCACTGAAAGATCAAGAGGGAAAATCATTTAATATAGTATGATTACTGCCTACTCTAGAGGATCAAAGGTACAACTTTGTTTTCAATTGGGTTTACCAGTCACAGCACACATCAATATTTTCCTGTCTACCCACCAACACCACCAAGTTTATGGTCTCATTATTACTTCCTCCAGTCCAACCAAGTCAATTCTAATGCCTAAAGGCTTCTCAAGCTTGCCAATCTTTATTTCCATGGCCACCAGTCAAGTTCAGGACACCCTCATCTTTTGTCTAAATTATCAAAAGAATCTCTAACCGGTTTCCTTGACTCTAGTCTTGCCCTCCTCTAATTAAGTTTCCATACTATGGCCAAAATGATGAGGGGAAAAACTGGTCAGTTTCAAACCCACTGCTTTCCCAAAGATCATCACCCCCAATAGTTTAAGTAACTAGAATGATCTTTTCAAAACGTAAATTTCATGTTACTTTCTGCTTAAAATCATTCAGTGGTTCCCCCACAACCTCAGGATAGTGTGAGTTCCTTGGCAAAATTTCCAAGGTGGTGCAAGCAGCCTCTAACTACTCTCTAGTATGTACTCTAGCCACACTCAACTATTTTGTTTAACTTCTCTAAATACCTTATGAGAATGAAAACAACATAAGGGCAAGAACTGAGTCTGTCTTGTTTACTGCTGAATCTCTAGCACTTAGCAAAGTGCCTGGAACATAATGTGTATTACAAAATTCTGCGGAATAAGTGTATGTATTTCTATTAGCCTCTCAATCAGAAAGGGAAAAAAAACCCCATTTCTGATCCATGGACAACAGCAACAAAAAGAGAAACAGCTAAATAAAAGCCCCTCACATTTTACCTCAATTGATAGCTACCTGTATGTTTGTCTTCACTCTAGTAAATAATACACTCTTCACATCAGGAACGATGGCACCACTACTTTGTATAAATGAATGGGATAAAAGATAAACTTTTTACCTACATGCTTAGCAATTCTGGAGTTTAACACTACAGAAACCACTTTAACTCTTATCACCCTTTTAAATTAAATGAATACTCCAGCCTGGCCAACATGGTGAAACCTCATCTCTAACAAAAATTAGCTGGGCGTAGTGGCGCACACCTGTAATCCCAGCTACTTGGATGGCTGAGGCATGAGAATCGCTTGAACCCAGGAGGCAGAGGTTGCGGTGAGCTAAGATCATGCCACTGCACTCTAGCCTGGGCAACAGAGCAAGACTCTGTCTCTAAATAAATAAATAAAATAAAATTAAATGAACACTAAAATTAAATAGAACTTACCTTAAAGCCCACATGTTGCACAAATCCACTTTCAGCTTGCATTTGCTGAAGTTTCTGCTTCTTTAACTTTTTAAACTGTAATAGTTCTTTATATTCAGGTAAATTCCTATACATGATAGGAATACTTTCGTCATCCTATCAAAGAAAACAAAATAAAAATGTTGGTTTGGTAATGAAACTGAATCAAGGGTAAGAAATACTGATACAGAATATTTTTCTACTGATATTCTTCATTTTTAAAATACCTTTTAGTACTCATAGAAAATTAGTGCTGCAATTAGCAGTATTTTCCACTAATGCTTTTGGAGGACTTTTTTTTAAACACAATAGTAATTCTGAATTGTAGCAGACTACTTCAATGCAGGTAAAAGGGAAGCACGGCCATGATTCTCACCTCTGTTACACACTATTGCAAACCCAATCCCATCTTTACATTTTCACGGTTACCTGAGTGACCTGTAATCTACTTCTCCCTCATTTAAGGAAGTTTCTCTTCTCCAATCTAACAGATTCTTACATTTGCTCCTGCAAACATGACACTTTCTTAATAACAAACAAACCAATCTCTGCTCTTGTTTTTTGCTCTGTACTCCCAATGATCAAAGTAGAACACTTCTCTCTTACTCAACAGGATGAACTGAGTTACAAAGATGACTATTTACAATAGACTGTAAAAGAAATAAATAGTAAAAACTATATAAATGAATTAAGCAGGCTAGGTGCAGTGGCTCACGCCTATAATCCCAGCACTTTGGGAGGCTGAGGTGGGCAGACCACTTTAGGTCAGGAGTTCAAGACCAGCCTGGCCAACATGGCAAAAGCCCGTCTCTACTAAAAATACAAAAATTAGCTGGGCATGGTGGCACGCGCCTATAATCCCAGCTACTCGGGAAGCTGAGGCAGGAGAATTGCTTGTACCTGGGAGGCAGAGGTTGCAGTGAGCCAAGACTATGCCACTGCACTCCAGCCTGGGAGACAGAGCGAGACTCCGTCTCAAAATTTAAAAATAATATATTAAATTGAAGTATCCCTTAATAAACTGGTCTTCAAGGTATAAAGTCTATTTATGATTCCGAACTTTTAGATACATATGTTCAGGACCATCCCCCACCTCCCAAATAACAGCAGTTTTCTACTCAAAAGTGTTAACATGCAAAATTCGTCTATTTAAAATTGCTGACAACACTGTGGTTCATCATCCTAGACAACTTCAAGATTATCACAGATGCCCAACTCGCTATTTCTGGCCTCTAATCTTAGACTGATTCTACTGAAATGATCTTCATCTTCATTCCTTCTCAGAGTCTCCTATTCCAACAGCCATACCTTGGACCTTGCCTTCAACTCTAAGTGTTTTACATCCAAAATATTAAGCTTAGATTTCCTACCTCCACTGTTATTCCTACTTCTCTCATATTCTCACCCCAAATAATCAGCTTTTTTTTTAACCTCATTGAAATTTCTAATCACTATTCTGCTTCCTATTCTCCCAATTCATTTGTGCTCTGCCACCCAGGATCCATTGCTTTGCTTTGCTATTCATGACTGATCCCATGCTCACTAATTTCCTAAAAGCATCCGCAATTCTCTGATCCATGTTCTGTAAATTCCCAATCCTGGACCAGACAAGCCCTACCCCACCCATTCCTCCTGCTACATTAGGTATTAAGTGCTATGTTATTTTACATCAAGAAAACAAAAGCTTACACAAAGCAGCCCAAGTCAGAAATCTAAGTGTTATCCTCAGTTTTTCAGTCCATTTTATATCGAATGTAACAAATCCTGTCATTTCTTAATACCTTCTACAATCTCTCTCAAATCGGTCCTCTAGTATCCACCCCCTCCTTTGCCCCTACTATTAAAGTTCCCAATGGTTTCCTGACTCTCTACAGCATCAAGTCCAAAGTCTTCAGCTGAGTAAAAGATTCTTTACAATTTCACACTTCATCGATCTATCTCCCACTTTTTCCTGTTTTTTTGCTTTGTTTTGTTTTTGTTTTGAGAGAGGGTTTCTGTCACCCAGACTGGAGTGCAATGGTGGGGTTCTCTGCAACCTTAACCTCCAAAGCTCAAGCGATTCTCCCACCTCAGCCTCCTGAGTAGCTGGGATGACAGGTGCACACCAGCAAGCCTGGCTAATCTGTGTGTGTGTGTGTGTGTGTGTGTGTGTGTGTGTGTGTGTGTGTAGAAATGGGTTTCATCATGTTGCTCAGGCTGGTCTCGAACTTCTGGGCTCAAGCGATTTGTTCCTCTAGGCCTCACTTATTGCTGGGATTACAGCACAAGCCACTGCGCCTGTCCCCACTATCCATTTCAAATTCTTGTCAACTAAAGATGTTAGATGATTATTACCACCCTGTGTCACCACTGAGAAAGACAACATAAGTAATGCTATACACTAATAAGTGACCCAAATAATTAGATAATATAGTAAGAAATGTCATAATGAAATTTACTTAATTCAAGTATTTTGCAAATGCAAACAGTGTAAACACTTTTAATTTTTAAATTTGCATTTAAATGCTAAGGATATGATTACATGTGATCAGCAAGGCTAAAATTAAGAAAAGTTAAATCACCTCACACCTAGTAGGTGGCTACTACTAAAAAAAGAAAACAAAAAATAACCAATGTTGGCAAGGATGTAAATAAACTGGAATCCTTGTGCACTGCTGGTGAGAATGTAAATGGTACAGCTCCTATGGAAAACAGTATATGGTGGTTCCTCAAAAAGTTTAACATAAAATTACTCTACAATCTAGCAATTCTACTTCCCAAAAGAACTGAAAGCAGGATATTTGTATACCCATGTTCACAGTAGCATTATTCACAATAGCCAAAAGGCAGAAGCAACCCAAGTATCCATCAACAAATGAATGGATAAAAATGTGGCATACAATGGAATATAATGCAGCCTTAAAAAGGAAATTGTGATACATGCTACAAAATGGATGAACCTTGAAGAGCGTATGCTGGGTGAAACAAGCCAGTCACAAAAGGACAAATACTGTATGCTTCCACTTATTTGAGGAATGCAGAGTAGTCAAATTTATAGATACAGAAAGCAGAATAATGATTGCCAGAGGCTAGAAAGAGGGGTGTTGGGGAGATGTTTAATAGGTACAGAGTTTGAGTCAGGTAAGCTGAGAGCTCTGGAGACTGGCTGCACAATAATGTGACTGTACGTAGCACTGCTGAACTCTATACTATAAAAATGGTGAGGATGGCAAATTTCATGTTATGTGTATTTTACCATAATTGAAACAAAAAATTTTTTAAACCTCATAGATTTCCTAATCATAATCACTTTAAACTTACTTAAAGGGGACTAATATCAAATGGAGCTAAAACTGTATACAGATTTTGAAGCCACAGAGTAAATAACATATAAATAATTGTTCTGGCTATTGCTTTTTGAAAAGAGAAACTAAAATCTATAAATTTTTCCACAAGATGCTTCATAAATATACATTTTGAGTAGCTATTTTAAAGTGATCAGAATAATTTCAACTGGCACTCATTTTTAAATAAATAAATAAACTCAACAACAACAAAAATTACATCAAATCCAATCCACTCTACTGTATTTTGCCAATTTGTCAAACTGTACCTTTGGATTTTGTTTTTTTGTGGGTTTTTCTGAGGGTTTTGGGTTTTGTTGTTTTGTTTTTTGAGACGGAATCTCACTGTGTCTCCCAGGCTGGAGTGCAGTGGCACGATCTCGGCTCACTGCAAACCTCTGCCTTCTGGGTTCAAGCGATCCTCCTGCCTCAGCCTCCCAAGTAGCTGGGACTACAAGCATGCGCCACCATGCCCGGCTAATTTTTGTATTTTTAGTAGAGACGGAGTTTCACCATGTTGGCCAGGTTGGTCTCCAACACTTGACCTCATGATCTGCCCGCCTCAGCCTCCCAAAGTGCTGGGATGACAGGTATGAGACACCGTGCCTGGCCTTTTTGTTTTTGATTTTGTTTTTTAAGACAGAGTCTCCCTCTGTCGCCCAGGCTGGAATGCAGTGGCATCATCCAGGTTCACTGCAGGCCCAATCTTCCAGGCTCAAGTAATCCTCCCATCTCAGCCTCTTGAGTAGATGGGACTTCAGGAATGCACCACCATGCCAGGCTAATAATTTTTTCTTTTTTCTTTTTTGTAGAGATGGGGTCTTGATATGTTGCCCAGGCTGGTCCTGAACTCTAAGGCTCAAGTGATCCTCCTGCCTCAGCTTCCAACGGTACTAGGACTACAGTTGTGAGCCACCACGCCGAGCCAAACTGTACTTCTTTTAAGTACTCCACCACCACTCCTCATCTGGCCAATTTTTATCCATACTTCAAGTACCATATTCACTGTCACCCTCTCAGGTCTTCCCCTGAAACTCTCAATCTAAATTAAGTACCTCTTAAATAATTATGTTAGCATCTATTTTTCCTTTGAAGCACTTTTTAATTCATTTTTTTGGAGATTGAGCTTTTGCTCCTGTTGCCCAGACTGGAGTGCAGAGCCGCAATCCCAGCTCCTGGCAACCTCCACCTCCCAGGTTCAGGCAATTCTCCCGCCTCAGCCTCCTGAGTAGCTGAGATTACAGGCACGCGCCACCATGCCCGGCTAATTTTTTTTTTTTTTTTTTTTTTAGTAGAGACGGAAGTTTTATCATGTTGGCCAGGCTGGTCTTGAACTCCCGACCTCAGGAGATCTGCCTGCCTCAGCCTCCCAAAGTGCTGGGATTACAGGCGTGAGCCACAGTGCCTGGTCTGAGGCACTTTTTTAAATGTGTGATTTACTGATGTGATTACACATTTATCTTCTCCCACAAGACTACAATTTATGAGCACAAAGATCAGACATATTTTGTTCATAACTATGTATCTAACCCCTAGCAAAGCCTAATAGTAAATTTAAATAAACATTTCTCAGATGTACAAATCTAATCATCACAAAGTATGAAATTATACATAAATGCTAATGTTTAAGACACAGCAGATAGTCATTTTTCAAAAGACAGGTTTAAAAGGAAATTAAAAAATTTTCATGAATACAGTTAAGGTGGTTTGATATCAAAGTATACAATCAGTATTTGATTAATCTAGCTATAGAACAAAGGAGCTTACTTTTTATTTGATAACTTTTCATTAAAATATCCTTTTCCAATTCTATATAATCAGAATATTAAGGAAGATATAGGGTAATCTTTATGTCCTTTAGTCAAGGAATCAGAATCAGGTTAAATATTGAGAAAATAATTTCAGGAATAGTAAAATAATAAAAAATATTAACAGCAACAAAAAGAAATCCCTATATATGTAAAGTAAATAAAGTGAATTAATATCCAACCATGGCAACAACTGAGAGGAATTATTTATTCCAAGATAATTTAAAAACCAATTTGACTTTACTTCTGTAGAGGGATATATATATAAAAAAGACAAAATAAAGAACTGAAAAACAAACTGTTTTCAGGAACCGTAGTAATAGCAGTGTTGGTTATTAATATATTCTGAGATTGTTCTGAGCAGTGTGAGACAAAGGAAGTGAGAACTGTGACTTTTAACCTGGAGAAAGGAGATACATATTTAAGATCAATTAGGGTAGATAAAAGTCCTAGAGTTCTTAAATTGAATTTGAAATTAAAATATGAACTTAATGATGTCTTTCATCCTTAAATAAAATAAAAATGTATCATATTTCCCAGCTCTGTCCATTAACAGGCCTAGAAACAATGCTGAACCCAGCAGCAAGTAACATTACTACAGTCAGGATATAGTCTCTAAATACCATTTCCCAGTAAAAAGAAGGACTGACTCTGGGTCTGAGGCAGGAAATATACAAGATAAGCCTGGATTTTCCTTGTTAAAACGGGTTTTAAAGAAGCTATTAAACACTATTAGAGTCTTATCAAAAGAGGCTACAACTAACCAAAAATGGGCCAGTTTGAACACTAACAAAGGCAGTAACATCAATGAATTGAACTACATTAAATACATTTACGGCCAATAGTTTATAAGAATACAAAAAAATTTTTAAACCTCATTGGTCATCTTTGAAGGATATGACAAAATGAACTCATTATTTTAAAAACCAGAAAATAGGTCAGGCATGGTGGCTCATGCCTATAATCTCGGCACTTTGGGAGGCCGAGGCAGGCGGATCACGAGGTCAGGAGATCGAGACCATCCTGGCCAACATGGTGAACCCCCGCCTCTACTGAAAATACAAAAATTAGCTGGGCATGGTGGCACACGCCTGTAGTCTCAGCTACTCAGGAGGCTGAGGCAGGAGAATCATTTGAACCTGGAAGGCAGAGGCTGCAGTGAGCCGAGATCGCACCACTGCACTCCAGCCTGGGTGACAGGGCGAGACTTTGTCTAAAAAAAAGAAAAAGAAAAAGAAAATAAAGGGAGAATCGAGCAATTATCCTACCTTTTCTATATGTACCTCAGAGTAACCAAATAGTTCACTGCGGGGCAGGGGGATTACTTTATAAAATAGTCCATCAAGTAAATGAAAAAATGATAGCATAATCACTATTCTGTAACATCTAATGAATTAATCGATCTAGGCAATGATCAGTGGCTGTTATGCCAAAAAAAGAGACAACCAGGCTGACAAAAGTAAACTTGAAGTAGTCCTGCCCACCCTAACAAACAAATACATCTGAATCTCATCAATGCTCTTGACCTACTATGAATTTACAGGAAGTTCAGAAAACAGAGGAACAGATTAAATGACAAGAAGAAGATGTAATCAATAAAATCCATACTAGAAAATTCTATAGGACAAATGAACCAGTTCTTCAACAAAAACATTGTGAGAGGGGAAAAAAGGAAAGTGAAAGAGGGAGAATGAACCTATTGTGGCTTATGGGCTTTATTTGGATCCAAACCTGAATGAACAAATTAGAAAAAAAATAATGAACGGTGACTATACATTTCACTATATAATAAATTACCTTTTATAAATATGAAAATTATGTTGTGTAGTATCTGGGACTTGCTCCCAAATAATCCAGAGCAGAGTTGAGGTGGGTAGGGAGGGAGTAGAGATTAAAATAAGGTAGCCTCAGGTTGATAATTGTTAAGGTTCATTATACTATTCTATTTTTGTATATGTTTGAAATTTTCCTCACAAAAGCACATTACTTAAAAACTATACATGTGACTTGTTCATTAAAAGAAACCAACATTCTCTGAAGAGTGGAATAATTAGAAAATCCTACTCTCTTCTATACCTTGATGTGTGTAATAACTAAATAGGTAACTTACTGATGCATCTTCAACAGCAGTGCTCATGTGGCTATGAAAACAAGATCGGTCATCATCTTCATCCATATACACTGGTGGTTCATGGGAAGTCATGAAAGTGGAAGGCTTAAAGAGATGCTTATTAAGAGGGTGCTGTCGTCTGCTTGTTGAAGACTAAATAAGAAAACAAATTTTTAATTGGGACAGTGAAAAATCATTACAAGAATCAGAAATATAAAAAATACAAATGTTACTTCCAACAAGTCTATCAGAAGAATTTCACTCTATCCTTTAGCATACTCTTATGTTGTTGCTTTCTCTATGCTTTCTGTGTTTAATTTTAAGCATAACTAGCCTTAAAAAATTTTCTTTTAAATGTAGGGGAAATACTCCAACAATGGTAAAATGAACCACATGCTCAGTATCTAGCTTATATTTGTATCCCCAGCATTTATCATACTCTTGGCAGTCAAATGCTGGCTGCACTGAACTCTTATGATCATCTTATAGAAGATCAGAGAGGATGAAGTGGCCTATGCCAGGAATAAAACTACCCAATAAAAGGAAAATATCTATAACATTATGAATATCTGAAAATAGTTATCTAACATTGATTGACTGCTTATTCTATGCCAGGGGTGTCCAATCTTTGGCTTCCCTAGGCTACATTAGAAGAAGAATTGTCTTGGGCCACACATAAAATACACTAACACTAAAAAAAAAGAAGAAACTATTGTAATGTTTTAAGAAAGTTTATCAGTCTGTGCTGGGCCACATTCAAAGCTGTTCTGGGCTACAGGTGGTATGTGGGCCATGGGTTGGACAAGCTTGCTTTATGCTAATGTCATTTAATCCTTACAACATTCCTATAAAGTAGTTATCATCATCTCTAATTTAAAGATGAGAAAACTGAGGACAGGGAAGTTAGGTTTCTTGTTCAGTGTGTTGCAGCTAGATAGTGGTAGAACAAGGATTATAAACTAGGCCTGTGTGGTGCCCAAATTCTCACTTTCTACCACTATGCTGCCTGCCTGTCTTGATCAATAGCACAGTCACAAAGAACACCCTCAGCTACACGGAGAACCATCATTTCACCTGCTTCCAAATTTAAACTTTAACCATGGCAAGCAATCATTGTAAATACAGCTGTACTAGATCTTCACAGCCAAAATACAGTACACCTAAGGGAAAAAAACACATGTAGGTTCTCCAGTACTCCTTTTGTTATCATTATCCAGTGTTAACTATGAAAACATATGGTTACAACACATCTATAACATTAGCTTAGAAATTAACCATGAAAATTAGAACTCTTAAACACTGATTAACGTAAGGTTCCGATATTCCAGTTATAGGATGAACTCTACATATCTAACACAGGTTATGCTATATTTGGTGGGAAATCCAAAACATTTAAAACAATTGGCAAATTAAAACAAGCTTCCAAAGCTTGGTTAAAAAAAAATTTTTTTTTAATGTGTAAAACATGAAACTGTATAGACAATATTCTTAATGTAAAATTACATTAAATAGCTTCAGTATGGAAGGGTAACAGCACTAGATATACTCTTAGCTTCTCTTTACGAGAAAGATGGCAGTGGTGGGGAGGGGAAAGTACCAGGATAACTTACTAAGGAAACTTAAAACAGCCAATTAGGTGTCTTTATTTTTTGCTATTACAAGAAACTGGCCTTTTTTTTTTTTTTTTTTTTTTTTTTTGGAAACGGAATCTCCCTCTGTCACCAATGCTGAAGTGCAGTGACGCAATCTCGGCTCACTACAACCTCCACCTCCCACGTTCAAACGATTCTTTTGCCTCAGCCTCCCGGGTAGCTGGGACTGCAGGTGCGCGCCACCATGCCCGGCTAATTTTTGTATTCTTAGTAGAGATGGGGTTTCACCATATTGGTCAGACTGGTCCTGACCTCGTGATCTACTGAACTCGGCCTCCCATAGTGCTGGGATTACAGGCCACCGTGCCAGGCCGAAACTGGCTACATTTTAATGTAGTGTCCTGTTTGGGAAAGAAACAGTAGCTTCTCCACCGTAGAAGGCAACAGAGAATAGTAGAAAAAGCGTGGCACCAGAATGAGAGAGAATCAGTGGTTCCCAGACTTGGCAGCTAAGTGACCAGATAATTCACTCAACATACCCAAGGGCCCAGTTTTCTTATCTAATAAAAGGTTTTAGAACAGTAGAGTCTGGCTCAGAGACCCTCAATATAACAGCTATTAATATTATGTCAGTAAAGTGAAGATGATAAGACTATTTATACTTCAAGTACTGTAGTAAGGATTAAATAAAATATTTTATTTTTTTAAAGACATGGGACCTCGCTATGTTGCCTAAGTTGGACTCGAACTCCTGGCCTCAAGTGTTCCTCGGGCCTCAGCCTCCCAAGTAGCTGGGGCAACAGGTGCACACCACTGTGCCTGGCTTTAGAATATAATAAACCTTTCTATTCTTGGATTTATATAGCATTATCTACAAAACAGAAATTGATTGTATTTATTAAATAATCAAATATCCTAAAAACTTTACCCTCACAAAGCCCTTTCTAACATATTTTGAATCTAAAATCTTTCAAGTAGCACTCATTCATATTACTCCTAAGAAAATAATGAAGAATCATTAAAGCTCACAGAATTTCACTGTGTAGCAATAATGGAGTCCTTACCCTGCATTTATGCACAATATAAGGAAATGCTTAGAATGAACAGAAGTTTTAAAATACAGCAACACTATTCTGTCAAATGTGTACATTTTTACATAGTCATTCTTTAATAAATTTAATCTACAGTTTACTTTCATGTATTTTCTTTTACCTTTTTGGAGTATATATATAAGTTTGGTGTTCTGCCTGGTACTGGAATGCCAGCTTTCGTTAGCTTTATGAAATACTTCTGTACTCGGCTGGCAACCTAAAGAAACATGACAAGTCTCTTAACACAATGAGATGACGTACAATACCTGAGTTGTTTTTAAAAATTAAAATGTACATGAGTATCTAACGAATGCTAAGAATTCAATACTCATCAAGAATCTAAAAATAACAATAAACTGTCACCAAATACACATATATTTTAAAATCTAGGCCAAACAAAAATTATTCAAGTAAATTTAAATTTTATTCTATAGCTAAACACATATTTCAACTTATGAACACTTGCGTCTGTAGTATAAAAACACATCTATTAATATAGATGGGAATATGAAGGAGTAAACTGCAAGATACATTTTTAGAAAGACAACCAGGGAATACTAAGGCAATGAAACAAATCTGTTTGCACAGTATAACCAAAAAGTTTACAATTAGTATACTTAGTAACCATTCAAAAGAAACTAAGTCCATTATATGTTCATATTTTAATATTTCATAATGATCCAAAGCAGAAGTATCTCAAGTTACTTGTTTCTGAAATCAACAAAAATATATACAATTTAAAAAAAAAAAAAAAAAAAAAAAAAAACATACTACAGCACTCTGTAGCTGAAAGTGTTATGGCAGATCGCCCAATGTCAGCATTATTCTCCTATATTAAAAAACTACCAAAAGCACACCAGCAATCTGCAGTCATCTCCTCAATTACCTGTTTTGCTGTCCTGTTGCCCAATTCATCTGCTATCTTCTGCCACCGTCGAGATTCTACTTCTTCAGGAGGGTATTTGATGAGTAGCTGTTCCAGCTTTTTCTAAGCCATACCCAAGACCAAATTTAAGAAAATATGTATTTAATTTTAAATACTGTATTTCTAAATAAATACATTCACATTTCATTTCTAAGTGTAATACTCTCTCCCACCTTTGGGGGTTACATTATTAGAAACCCTCATGGTAGGAAAAATTTCTAGTTAGAAACTTAAGACTTCACAGGGAACAATGAAATTAGAGAATAAACTTATGAAAGAGTTTACAAAAGTTTTCTATTCACGTAAGTAAAAAGATCGCATAAGAAAACAGAAAATAAGTAAACAAATTGGTAGATTACACATTTTAGTGATTTCCACTGACCATCTTTTCTTACTAGACTATGTCTTTCCCCTTACAGTTTTAACAAAAACATGTAAATTCACTTAAATTTCAACTATTAAAAGAAGCTTTTCCTTCTTTTGTGTGGTCCTTTATTCAAATATTTGATTTTAATATTCCTTCTTGTCTCCTATATCTTCTCATAGTTGCAGAAGATGCAGAAAAATCTGGATGCTTGAAATAAATAAAGATTTCCCAAAGCTTTTTATAAACTGCTAAATGTATAGCTGTGGGGTTAATAACCATATGAGACAAAGATGTGCCTCAAACTTCACCCACTAACAACCCTAGCCATTAGCCAAAAAAAATGTTAGCTGTATGCCAACGCTGACTGGCTTCCTCATCTCCCTTCGACAACAAAAATAAGAATGCACTTTGAAGCTCAGTTTTACTGGCCTCAGGTTTTTCTCTCTCCCAAAGCTACATTACAAAAACATCTATTTTATTCCATCCACTTCTACTGCCATCTCAAAACCCAGGTTCCTTCTTTTAAAATTATCCCCAAACAAGAGTTTATACATTCTCAAAATCCAAAATTCTTGAAGTATGCAAAAAGGTATACAAAAATAAGTCTAAATATTTAAAACTCATGGTTAACAGGTATCACAAACAACAATATATACCTGACTCAAAATATGGACTCTTTTCTTTTTGAGATGGAGTCTCACTCTGTTGCCCAGCCTGGAGTGCAGTGGCACGATCCTGGCTCTACGCAACCTCTGCCTCCTGTGTTCAAGCAATTCTCCTGCCTCAGCCTCCCGAGTAGCTGGGATTATATATGCACACACCATCACGCCCAACTAATTTTTGTATTTTTAGTAGAGACAGGGTTTCTGTCTCTACCATGTTGGCCAGGTTGGTCTTGAACTCCTGACTTCAAGTGATCCACCCACATCAGCCTCCCAAAGTGCTGGGATTACAGGCGTAAGCCTCATAATATTGACTCTAATGTTAACTGTTTACTTTTATTTTTTAAGCCTACACAATTTTGAAATATCCATTACCTGTTCTTCAACAGTCCACAATTGATTAAATGTTTCAGGTTTGGTATCATCACACAGGCGTCCTCTTATCATCTGCACGTAAGACAAGGCTTTTGTCAGAGAGAAAATAACAACATCTAAGCTGTGATATAGCCAAATAACACACAAATTGTGGAATTTTTAAATTAATTTCGAAATATTTGAGTAAATTTTTTTTAATGTATATGTTTTTTGTTTTTACTGTTTACAAAATGCCTTCACATTATTTTATTTCGTTTGGTTTTATACTCCCAGCAATCCTGTGAAAACGTAATAGTACTGTAACTTCATGTTTTAAAAAAGGAAAAGGAAATGTGGGCTCAGAATTGAAAAGTAACATGTCCACTGAGGGTCATCTACTAAGAGTGGCAAGGGCAGGACTCAAATCCTGGTCACATTTCACTACACACAAAGGAGCTACTATTTTTAGACTAAATACTATGTGTTGGATACTGTACTAGGCACATTGCATACACTACCTAATTAATCCTCAGCAACAACCCTACAACATAGGTAATATTAACTACATTTTATACAAAAGGAAACCGCAGCTTAGAGACTTCAACATAAATGATGTCTGAAGGTTCACGGCTAGTAAGTTAGGACTCCAACCTAAGTTTCTCTTAATTTCAAAGTTCCTATCTCCTTTACCTTCCAGTGAAAGATCGCTTTAATTTTAAAAACACAAACCACAAAATGTTAAAATGTTTTGTCTAAAATTCAAATTTTCCTACTCCAATATTTCACACTGCTTACCTGAGGACGACTGCTTGAGCCTTCTGGACCATCACTCAAAGGCAACATAGAATATGAAAGGGACTCTCCATCCTTCTTAGGATCTAAAGGACTTTTTGGTCTAGCAGGTAAACCTACTGAAAAATAAGACCACATACAGAACCATTAAAGCAAAACATTGCCAGATATTTTTCTACTTACATTCTTATCATATGATTTCTTACCTTTATCAAAAACTAGCTTAACTCTTCTAGTATGTCTTTTACGATTTTTAAATTCTCTTTCAAAGTTCCCAAGGCTATGGGTATATTGGTCCCATACGATCTCAGGCAACTGAACAACTCTCTGTGGATACGGAAGCCCTATATCAGCCTGGGGGCAGGGGAGAAAAAACAAGATAAAGTAAAAGTCTAAATTTAATTAAAGAAATAATCAACCACAGTCAAATTTTCAGATGACTCCAAATCCAAATAATCAACGGGGCATTTCTATTCATGTTTAAATCCAAATGACAATAAAGTTAATTAATATAGTCTAAATATTAAATGCTAAAGATGGTAAGTGAATAAATGAATTTAGCAAAACCTAAGTACTACTTCTAGATGGAGGGCAGTGTCTTTTAAAATAATGATAGTAATATTAAATAAAACTAACAACCCATAAATGTTCTCTGCACTCCATATACCAATATATATCACCAGTTTCATTAATATGAACTAAGAGGAATTTTTTATATGTCCACTAAAACAAACATGTTACAAGTCAACAACATAACTAATATGATAAACCTAAATAAAATAGGCAAATTGAGTTTGTATGAACAAACCCAGAAAAATAGAAGAATCAACCTTTTAAATTAAACCTAGTAGGAAAATTTTTTTCCAGAGAACATAGGACTTTCACGGTAGTTTTTTTTTTTTTTTTAATTAAAAAAAAAAAATTCTCAGACACTAATAACTTCATGGTTATTAAAGTATCTTAATTTAATATATTTCTGTGTCTTTTTATAAAAAATTATTAAGATGGTCAACATCACATCTTTATTTCTGAAATAAAGTGAAAAGAAATTCTATTCTAGGCTGAGCACAGTGACTCAAGCCTGTAATTTCAGCACTTTGGGGGGCCGAGGCTGGTGGAACACTTCAGGTCAGGAGTTTCAGACCAATCTGGCCAACATGGTGAAACCCAGTCTCTACTAAAAATTAAAAAATTAGCCAGGCGTGGTGTAGTGCACTTGCAGTCCCAGATACTCAGGAGGCTGAGGCAGGAGAATCGCTTGAACCCGGGAGGCAGAGGTTGCAGTGAACCGAGATCAGGCCCCACTGCACTACAGCCTGGGTGACCTAGTGAGACTCCAACTCAAAAAAAAAAAAAAGAAATGAAAGTCTGTTCAAACTAAACCTGAAAGTGAAGAAACAGGAAATAATCAACAGCATACAAATCTAGTAAATATGCCTAATTGCATCTTTTTGCCTACCCAGGAAAGTAAATGAAATGAAATTAAGGTTAATGAATTTTTCATTAGTATTTACTTTACTAACACCATCTGTTTTAGTTGAATTCACTGTAAATAACCATTATAAGTCTTACATCTTTTTGTACCAGCAAATTATTTAATAACAGCAATGCAGAATCAATAAACACTTAAAGGGGCCTCACTTTAACACAGAAGATACACCAAAATTCTAAAAACCTTAGAGTTTTAGCAAATCAATATATAGAGTTTTAACAAATCAACAAATCTACATCTATTATGATATTCAATGTTTTCTACAAGTATGAAGAGAAAGAAATGTTTACCAACTAAATAATATACCTAGAAACATTCAAATAATAAATTAACACATCTAGTGAAATAAGGTTCCCAGAGCCGCTCTCCTAATACCTGGTAGACCACTTTTGTAACTAATTCAAAACAGGTAACTCATAAAGATACTAAAGTTGTCACACAAGATAAGATTTCATTTCTTTTTTAAGAAGAGGATTCTTTTTCATCGTTTTTCAGTTCTAATCTTTTCATACAATGCTGATTAATATTATACCTCTGAAATTTAATGAACAATTAGTGGGTCCCTATTACAGCACAAATGCACATCAAGATCATCTCCATATTTACACACCAAGAAACTCATTATAAAAACCTGTATCGCTTTTAAGTGGTTAAGTGTTAAGCATGAAAGTTCTGTTTTAAGGAAAACAAAATTATGGAGAATTTTCACATTTAAAAAAGGCATTTCAGAATTAAGTAAAATTTATACTTCTTCCTCATGGTCTTGGCTATCGTAACTCTAAAGATATTTAAAAATAGATTTTGTTTTGATCACCATTGTTTTCTCTCTCAATATGCACAAAGGTACTAGTGTGCAAAAGTAACCCAGAAATAAATGTAGTTAATCAATTCTGAAGTATTTTTTTCTTTTAGCTTTACTAATCCCTAAGTCCTGATACAGAGGAGGAAAAATACTCAAAGAAGGGGAAGATAACAGGAAAAGCTAGGGGAAAAAATGGCTAAGGAATAGGACAAGTTCCCATACAAATATCCAATAAAAGCTTCTAGCTATTTTCATTTGGATATATTTTATTGTCTGCCTGGTGGAGGTGGAAGAAATTGGTATCTTGCCTTAAGTAGTACGGCTAATTATAGACAAGAAAAATTAAATATTTTAAAAAGTATATACCCATAAAAAAGAATTAGCCAAATTCTCTTAAGCTATTCCCAAACAGATCTTAGTAAATCTTAAAAAGGGTTCAATGTATACCTTCTTCTGGAGTTTTTCCACAAATCCAATGGGATTTTTTAGTGCTTCTCTCTGGTGTCTGCCTAAACTTTCAAGATCTTGGACTGCTTGAGAACGCTGAGCCTCGAGTACAGCAATCGTCTGCAGTAGTCTCTGATAACTACAGAGACAAAGAAAAATATTTCACAAAAATTTTCTAGTAACAACAATAAATAAAAACTGAGTTCAAGCCATGATCTACTATTAAGTCACACAGTCTTTTAAGAGTTACCTGAAAGAGTTTAGTAAAACATATTACTGGGAATAAATGAGGTCTTCCTGAGTTACGAAGTACCTACAGAAAATAAGAGTTAGAGAAAGCAAAGCCTTCTTCCCCCATCTTAAGTTTTTAATTCTTGAACCTGAACAAGTACCAAAATAAAAGAGCATTTTGACTTTCCAACAATCCAAGTCGTTAAGAAACTGCTAGATTAAAAAAAAAATTAAAATGATAAAATCGTAACACTAGGAGGGATCACTCAATTCAGGCACTTTGTTGTACTCTGTTGAAGTAAGGAATCTGAGGCATGTTTTCTCGCCAACAGACACGTGACACTGTCATATAATTCCAACGTGATCTTAGTCTCACAGTTTCCATTTGCTCTATTATACCCTCCCTCCTATTTGAAAGATTTACTTTTCCATCAACAAATATGTTATTTTTTTCCTCCACATGAAAGATAAAGACAAATGTTCAATACTTAAGTATTAATCATTTAAAGAGAAGAAAGGCCATAAAGATATTTATTCTTTTCTGCTTGCAAAGGTCCATTTGGCAAAACAAACATACAATTTTATCCACACAAATGTATTACAAGTCATTATCCTGAAATCTCAGTATAATACATGTATTCTAATATTCTCCCTCTGTTTAAATTGTCTTGCCTCTCTAATATTTAATTTCACATTACCAGCACACATAGAGAAATATGTTGAACCCAAAGCTCTGAATGCGCAAATACATTTTGCAAAACAACTCAAGGAAAAGTCACTCCAAGTTCACTTTAAAATAATTGGTTAAATCCTTAAAGTATAAGCAAAGCACAATTTTTCTATATGGCTTCAAGTAACTTTCATTTTGTTTCCTACTAGACTGTAAACTCCATATGGCAAGTTCATCTGTTTCGTTCATTGTTTTGTTTAGCTAGTATGCAACATACTTCCCAGCACGTAGATGCTCAATAGATATTTTCTAAATGAATAGATTTTCTGAATCTTTTAAGTTCAGAAGTAAGCAAACTAGCAGAAGTATCAAAGGTGAAATACTGCAGTTTTGAGGTTCACAGGCCATAGTGTCATGGCAACATGATGTTCTCTATCAGAATACTTTTCTCAGCCTGCTGTCTAAAACAAATCTTATTCTTGTTTTCAAGACCTTGTTAACTAATCTTTGATGAAATTTTTAATAATTAAGGTAAAACTGCTAACACTGAAGGGTAAGATTCCTCTCCAGCTAGAGATATTTCATTTAAAACTAGAGCTAGGAGTGGGAAAGGCAGAGCTATACTAAGTCACTACAGGATAAATTACAGAGGGTAAATCTAAACTCACTTTCACTAAGCCTTCTTTTGCTTTGAGGTGTATGCAGTGTACAAACCCTGTCTCAGTTTCTACTAAGCAGGCTCACATAGGCTCAATCTTAGGGTGATGGTAGTGATCTGAGTGCTAGAAGCTATCCTCTCTAGGCAATACTCTTAATTGTCATACTGCACCTTCAGAATTCCTATCCCACTAGATGAATACAACCAAAGACTTACATTGTCTCTATCCCTGTTTTAAGCAGGAGTTACACACTTCAGTACCACTTTAAAAACAACTGTGAATATATTAAAACTTCAGTAAAAGGTGTAGGCAGAGTAACAATAAGGCACAAGTAAAAATAGGGTTATGAAAAAACAAGTTTGAAAAAGGTACTACAGTCAATTACAATGGCAGCTGTCTTTTTGTTAGGTTTGGAGCAAACGGACACTGGGAAGAAGGGCCTCTAATTTGAAGCCAACAAATTACCACAATTTTACAATATGTAAATTATTCCATAATAAATCTGACTTAAAAAATAATTCCAATAAAGATGGCAAATAAGGCACAGTTCTTCAATTCTGCTTCCATTTAGCTAAGACAAAATGATTATCAGATTGGAAGGCCTATGATAAACATGGGTAAAGTCTTCAAGCTCAAAATAATGAAGACTCTAAGAAAATAGTAAATTGAAGTCTTCTATCCCAGATAATTGGATTTCTCAGCGTACTCAGACACCGCACCAGCAAGATTACCATATATATATATATATCCATGAGCAGATATGGAAGAAATTATTTAAACAAAACTGAAGTGACATCTAAAAAACAGTAAATATAGACAAATCTGTTTTCAATCCCGCTCACCCACCTACACAAGCAAACTACAGAAGCTGATTCAGGCATGAATCCAAAGGCAAGATTCATTTTTCATTAATTCAACAATTATTTACTAAGAAAACAAGGCATTATCCTAAAAGCTTTAGTAATTATAAAGATAACCCAGGCATGCAGTCTAAGTATAATAGAGGAGTTACAATTATACCACGGAGGAACTGGATGAAGTATAAATAGGGCTGGATTGGTTGTGCTGCTGGGGATGGAGGATGGGTATATGAGGGTCCATCATACTAGTCTGTCTACTTTTTTTTAATGTTTTAAATTCTCCACAATGAATGTTTAAAAATCAATTCCAATTTTGACCCCTTTTTTTTTTTTTGAGACGGAGTCTCGTTCTGTCGCCCAGGCTGGAGTGCAGTGGCGCGATCTCGGCTCACTGCAAACTCCGCCTCCCGGGTTCACGCCGCTCTCCTGCCTCAGCCTCCTTAGTAGCTGGGACTACAGGCGCCCGCCACCTCGCCCAGCTAATTTTTGGTATTTTTAGTAGAGACGGAGTTTCACCGTGTTAGCCAGGACAGCCTCAATCTCCTGACCTCGTGATCCGCCCGCCTTGGCCTGCCAAAGTACTGGCCTCCCAAAGTGCTGGGATTACAGGCCTGAGCCACTATCCCCGGCTCTTTGACCCATATATGGGGGGAGGTGAGGACTGTACTACTCCTTCGGGGCTGATCAGCTCACAGTTGCCACTGCATTCAGCTATGCTTTGAGAAAGACAAACAGGTTCATGAATAGACAAGATGGATGAGAAACAGTGTAAGATGAAATAACAATACAGTTGGCCCTTGAACAACACAACACAGTTTGAACTCCATGGATTCACTTACATGCAAATTTTCTTCTACCTCTGACATCCCTGAGACAGCAAGACCAACCACTCCTCTTCCTCCTCTACCTCAGCCTACTCCATGTGAGGACAATGAGGGTGAAGACTTTTAGGCTGGCCCACTTTCACTTAATGAATAGTAAATACATTTTCTCTTTATTATGATTGTCTTAATAACATTTTGTTTCTAGCTTACTTTGTTGCAAGAATACAGTATAAAATACATGTAACAGACAACATCTGTGTTAATCAAATGTTCGTGTTATATAGTAAAGCTTCTGGGTCAACAGTAGGCTATTAGTAGTTAAGTTTTAGGGGAGTCAAAAGTTATATGTGGATTTTCAACTACGCAGGAGGTCTATGCCCAATCCCTGTGTTGCTGAAGGGTCAACTGTGGTGTCTGACATTTACTGAATGTGTACTACATGCCAGACAAATGTTGTATTTTAAACGTAATAACTCAATCCTCACAGTAACTTTATGACCCTGGTACCAACATTCTTAATTTTAAACACAAGGAAACCAAGCACAGATTAAATAACTCCCCAAGATCATACCAGCTATTTATGGTGGAGCTGCTATGTGAGGAATGGTTAAAGTCTCTGAGAATATTTAGTCAAGAAATGAAAACCTCCACTAGAATACCATTTCCATTTTTATTTAACAAACAGCTATGCAGGAAAAAAAAAAAAAAACCAGACTTGTTTTATAGAGTATAAAGGGTCAAACCAGGAGCAAATTGTGATAAAGACACAACATGAAGAAAAACTTTGTCTCAGTCAAAACTAATAAAGGTGGTAGGATAGCACCCAATCACCAAGATGTTCAGACAGGTATCTAAAAGAAATTCAAGCACTAAAAACCTGAAACACTTTAATGCCAGGAAAATATCCTGCTTTTACTTTTGCTACTCACTGAACCAAGCAAGAGAATAACTTAAAAAAAAATTACACATATTTTTGCATGGATAAAATCATAGTTATACCTTTTCCATAAGGATAGCTATGTTAAATCTATTGAAATTATTTGTTATTTATGTCTAAATCTAAATCTTACACAATGCTAACAACAGCAAACTTACTTGTGTCAAAGAATTAGGGTTTTCTTATTTTCGCCTTTTGAGATAGGGAGTTGCTCTGTTACCCTCGCAGGCGGGCAGTGTCAGATTATGGCTCACTGCAGCCTCTACCTCTCAAGCTCAAGAAATTCTCTCACTTCAGCCTCCCAAGTAGCTGGGACAAGTGTGCACCACCATGCCCAGCTAATTTTTTAATTTTTTGTAGAGACAGGGTCTCACTGTGTTGCCCAGGCTGATCTCAAACTCCTGGCCTCAAGCTTTCCTCCCACCTTGGCCTCCCAAAGTGCTGGGATTACAGGCGTTAAGTCACCACACCCAACCAGAACTGTTTTTAATTTTACATCTCCAACATAAGACATTTTAGTTTTATATATTTGGCCAAAGTATAAATGCCCTTTCAAGTACTTATCTAAGTTATTTTTACTACTTTTCAATATCTAAGTCCTCTTGAATTCTTTATTTACATTTATGAATATAAAAACATTTATGTGAAAGAGTATATGGGTAAAAATCCTGACATCTAAAGAGAACGTCAAGGAATTAGTAATCTGGAGGTTGATTTACTTACTTACTTATCTATTTATTTATTTGACAGAGTCTCACTCTGTCACCCAGGTTGAAGGGCAGTGGTGCAATCATAGCTCACTGCAGCCTCAAACTCCTGGGCTGAAGTGATCCTCTCGTCTCAGCCTCCCGAGTACCTAGGGCCACAGGTATACCACCTTTCCCAGTGAATTTTGTTCTCTGGGGTTTTGTTTTGTTTTGATTTTTGTAGGGATGGGGTCTCGCTTTGTTGCCCAGGC